CTCGGGCAAACCCCTACAGGGGTGTGGGTAAGGGCCCCGGGGGGGGGACCCACACATCATGACGGCGGTCGCTACACCTTTTTCACTAAAGGGTCCGGGCCCAGGTCATTAATTCAGCAGGATCGAAGGATTTTGGGTTTTTTAAGATCAAGTTGCTCAGGTTTCGCGAATCAGGAAAATACGAGTGTCGGTGTCAAACCCAAATGTCATAAATTTTCATAGTTTTACCTCAATTTTTTTTTGGAAGTTTTTAAAATAAACCTAACATACATATAACATACAACCAAAATAATATAACATACAACCCAACATACACCAAACATACTTTTAACATACTTATAACATACCCCCAAAATACACCTAACATACACCAAATACTATAACATACACCTAAATACAAAACTACAAACCCAACATAAAATAACATACACCTAACATATACCTAACATACTTATAACATACACCTAACATACACCTAACATACACCTGACATACATATAACATATACCTAACATACATATAACATACACCTAAACATACATATAACATACACCTAACATACATATAACATACATCTACATACACCTTACACCTAACATACATATAACATACACCTAACATACATATAACATACACCTAACATACACCTAACATACATATACCATACACCTAACATACACCTAACATACACCTAACATACACCTAACATACATCTAACATACATATAACATACACCTAACATACATATAACATACACCTAACATACACCTAACACACTTATAACATACACCTACATACATATAACATACACCTAACATACATATAACATACACCTAACATACATTTAACATACACCTAACATACACCTAACATACACCTAACATACACCTAACATACACCTAACATACATATAACATACACCTAACATACATACAACATACACCTAACATACATTTAAGAAACATTTAACATACACATAACATACATTTAACATACATCTAACATACATATAAATACACCTAACATACACCTAACATACATATAACATACACCTAACATACATCTAACATACACCTAACATACATATAACACCACACCTAACATACATATAACATACACCTAACATACAGCTAACATACATATAACATAACCTAACATACATATAACATACATCTAACATACACCTAACATACATATAACATACACCTAACATACATATAACACACACCTAACATACATATAACATACACCTAACATACATATAACATACACCTAACATACAGCTAACATACATATAACATACACCTAACATACATATAACATACATATAACATACACCTAACATACACCTAACATACATATAACATACACCTAACATACATTTAACATACACCTAACATACACCTAACATTTAACATACATTTAACATACACTTAACATACACCTAACATACACCTAACATACATTTAACATACATATAACATACACCTAACATACATTTAACATACACCTAACATACACCTAACATACATATAACATACACCTAACATACATCTAACATACATATAACATACACCTAACATGCATCTAACATACACCTAACATGCATCTAACATACATATAACATACACCTAACATACATCTAACATACATATAACATACACGTAACGTACATCTAACATACATATACATACACCTAACATACATCTAACATACATATAACATACACCTAACATACATCTAACATACATATACACATACATATAACATACACCTAACATACATATAACATACACCTAACATACTTATAACATACACCTAGCATACATTTAACATACACCTAACATACACCTAACATTTAACATACAACTAACAAACACTTAACATACACCTAACATACATTTAACATACATCTAACATACACCTAACATACACTTCACATACATCTAACATACACCTAACATACATCTAACATACATATAACATACACCTAACATACACCTTACATATAACATACACCTAACATACATCTAACATACACCTAACATGCATCTAACATACATATAACATACACCTAACATACACTTCACATACATTTAACATACACCTAACATACATCTAACATACATATACACCTAACATACACCTTACATATAACATACATCTAACATACATCTAACATACACCTAACATGCATCTAACATACATATAACATACACCTAACATACATCTAACATACATATAACATACACCTAACATACACCTAACATACACCTAACATACACCTAACATTTAACATACATCTAACATACACTTAACATACACCTAACATACATTTAACATACATCTAACATACACTTCACATACATCTAACATACACCTAACGTACATCTAACATACACCTAACATACACCTAACACACACCTAACATACACCTAACATACATATAACATACACCTAACATACATCTAGCATACACCTAACATGCATCTAACATACATATAACATACATCTAACATACATTTAACATACATATAACATACACCTAACATGCATCTAACATACATATAACATACATCTAACATACATTTAACATACATATAACATACACCTAACATACATTTAACATACATCTAACATACACCTAACATACACTTCACATACATCTAACATACACCTAACATTCATGTAACACATCTAACATACACCTAACATGCATCTAACATACATATAACATACACCTAACATACATCTAACATGCATCTAACATACACCTAACATACACCAAACATATGCCTAACATGCATCTAACATACATATAACATACATCTAACATACATATAACATACATCTAACATACACCTAACATGCATCTAACATACATATAACATACACCTAATATACACCTAACATACATGTAACATACATCTAACATACACCTAACATGCATCTAACATACATATAACATACGCCTAACATACATCTAACATACACCTAACATGCATCTAACATACATATAACATACACCTAACATACACCTAACATTTAACATACATCTAACATACACTTCACATACATCTAACATACACCTAACATACACCTAACAATACATATAACATACACTTAACATACACCTAACATACACCTAACATACACCTAACATACTGTAACATACATATAACATACACCTAACATACATGTAACTTACACCTAACATACATGTAACATACATATAATATACACCTAACATACACCTAACATACACCTAACATGCATCTAACATACATATAACATACACCTAACATACACCTAACATGCATCTAACATACATATAACATACACCTAACATACACCTAACATACACCTAACATTTAACATACATATAACATACACTTAACATACACCTAACATACACTTCACATACATATAACATACACCTAACATACATATAACATACACCTAACATACACCTAACATGCATCTAACATACATATAACATACACCTAACATACACCTAACATACCCCTAACATTTAACATACATATAACATACACTTAACATACACCTAACATACACCTAACATACACTTCACATACATATAACATACACCTAACATACATGTAACATACATATAACATACACCTAACATACACCTAACATATATATCTAACAATACGTAGTAGGAGCGAGGGAGGTGTGGAGCCAGCAATATATGACAGCTGACTAACATATAGAAAGGTATCTCACCACATTATACACCTGGTCACAGACCGGGTCAGGGGGGGGGGCGTTGATCCCCGATACCTTCTCCAGGTATACCATCACAACAAATACCTGGAGAGGATTTTGGGGTCAACGCCCCGGCGGCCTCGTGGTGAATCAAGGTCTGATCAACCAGGCTGCTACCGCTGGCCGCACGCAGACCGCCGCCATTAAACATATGCAAATATATGTAGATATCTGTGATATACTTTCGTAGCTGAAGCCGCTGTACAATTCTCCAGACAACACTAGTTTACGTCACCATGATAAATAGAAGGGTCAGCCTATTATAATAAACTTGTATATTGCAAAACATGACTTGATAAAGCTCTACACAGTGAAACATGATAAAGCTCTACACAGTGAAACATGATAAAGCTCTACACAGTGAAACATGATAAAGCTCTACACAGTGAAACATGATATAGCTCTACACAGTGAAACATGATAAAGCTCTACACAGTCAAACATGATAAAGCTCTACACAGTGAAACATGATAAAGCTCTACACAGTGAAACATGATAAAGCTCTACACAGTGAAACATGATAAAGCTCTACACAGTGAAACATGATATAGCTCTACACAGTGAAACATGATAAAGCTCTACACAGTCAAACATGATAAAGCTCTACACAGTCAAACATGATAAAGCTCTACACAGTCAAACATGATAAAGCTCTACACAGTGAAACTTGATAAAGCTCTACACAGTGAAACATGATAAAGCTCTACACAGTGAAACTTGATAAAGCTCTACACAGTGAAACATGATAAAGCTCTACACAGTGAAACATGATAAAGCTCTACACAGTGAAACTTGATAAAGCTCTACACAGTGAAACTTGATAAAGCACTACACAGTGAAACATGATAAAGCTCTACACAGTGAAACTTGATAAAGCTCTACACAGTGAAACATGATAAAGCTCTACACAGTGAAACTTGATAAAGCTCTACACAGTGAAACATGATAAAGCTCTACACAGTGAAACATGATAAAGCTCTACACAGTGAAACTTGATAAAGCTCTACACAGTGAAACTTGATAAAGCACTACACAGTGAAACATGATAAAGCTCTACACAGTGAAACATGATAAAGCTCTACACAGTGAAACATGATATAGCTCTACACAGTGAAACATGATAAAGCTCTACACAGTGAAACATGATATAGCTCTACACAGTGAAACATGATAAAGCTCTACACAGTGAAACTTGATAAAGCTCTACACAGTGAAACATGATAAAGGTGTACACAGTGAACACGATAAAGGTGTACACAGTGAACACGATAAAGGTGTACACAGTGAACACGATAAAGGTGTACACAGTGAACACGATAAAGGTGTACACAGTGAACACGATAAAGGTGTACACAGAGCTAAACATCACCTGATCAAGTTTAACACAAAGCGAGTCATTCTCGCAGCAGCAGTAAAAGAGGGTTCAACACCGTGTGTCTTTTTCAGAAAATATCGTAATATTTCAGAGACTAAGTTGGTTATCGTGCGCCAGATAACGTCATTACAGTTCAACTGCAAACTTTTACATGCTACAGCACAAAGTTTTTAGTAATTGAGAAGATTACCTGCCTACCAGCACACCTGAGCACCTAGGGAACAACCTAATTACTCCACTTACTAACCCCTGCTTGATTAGCCTTCTACAATGCAATTAAGCTTGAAAAAAGCCTGCTAATTAAGCCTTTTTTTAAATTCCAAATAAAACTTTTTACATATGGAGAGAAGATAGAGGATCGACCCTCCGTCCTTTCAGAGCAGTGAGGTGTCTTGCTGCTTGTTGATGAGCTCTGGATCCAAACAACTGGAGCTACCTTCCCATTCCCTGGATAAAACCTGATTATCTCTCATTCTCCCTACATCTTTATATATATATATATAAATGCGTATATATATGTGTGTGTGTGTGTATGAGTGTGTACTAAATAAGTATATGTGTTGTATGTTTTCAGCTGCACCAGAAGCTAAGATCATCGGGGCACCGGACATGCATGTTGACATGGGTTCAACTATCAACCTCACTTGTATTATTGCTCATAGTCCAGAGCCTCCAAACTTTATATTCTGGTACCATAACGGCAAGGTAACTTATCATTCTCCTCCTCCTCCTCCTCTTCCTTCTTCTTCCTCCTCCTCTTCTTTTTCTTGTGTTTACTTTCAATTTGTGGTTTATTTATGAATTACTGCATCCTGAGTATTGTGACTCTTCTACTTATTCTTACAGTAATTTATGTCAGGTTTAACCTTAATACATATCTGTTCCTGGCTATCTACCAGAGGAAATGCTAAGCAGCAGTAAAATTTTGGACGATAAAATATTATACAGTTTATGGTCCGATGTTAAAATATCTGACGATATTTAGGTAATGTTTATATAAACATGCGTTAAGAATCATTGTTTCGATGTAAACATTAAAACTCTAGCAAGTATAAGTATTGCTTTCAAACCTCTTTAATAAGGTAAATATCTTAGGCTAGTTTGAGATAGTAATATTAAGTCTCCAGTAATTATATACTGTGAGAGGTAATTATAAAATTCATTAAGTAAGTATCCTAACACGGGTTGTAATCTTTCTACGACCCGTTGTCTGTTATATACACCGTGAGGTGTATGTCTCTCATTGTATAAATGATGTAACGTTACTGAATATCTGTCAGCTCTTACAACATATACACATCTTCGTCTGACTGGTGTCTAACTTTTAAATTACTTAGAGCTTCTGGTTAATAAAGCTTTTGTTAAGATAATATCTTTTATATCTTACTGCGGTTGCCTACAGGTAGTGAATTATGACTCTCCACGAGGTGGGATTACTGTGGTAACAGAGCGAGGCAACACTACCAGCGGTTACCTCCTCATACAAGTAAGTTAACTGCTCATACAGGTGAGTTACCTGCTCACTTAATACCTACTTCTACCGAAGGTAGTCATATAATTATTATTATTATTATTATTATATGAAGATCCAAGCCTGTATAGGCTCAAACTAACAGCTAGACAGTCGTTCAGAGGACGTGAGAGGTGACAGTGCTTAGTATGGATGACAGTGTTAATTAAGCCAGGATGACGGTGATTAGTCAAACTGACAGTGATTTGCCTGGGTGATAGCGATTAGTCTGGGTGATAGCGAATAGTCTAGGTGACAGTGTTAAACCAAAATGAGAAATAATCTACACACTTATGATAAACGTTTCGGGCCGATTTGAATCATTAACTAATCACACAGAGAAGCCTGAGGGTGAGGGAGCCAGAATATATATATATATATATATATATATATATATATATATATATATATATATATATATATATAATATATATATATATAAAATATGGAGGGGAGTGGTAGAACAGGAGCAGGGAGTAGCAGTAGTAGTAAGAAATTTTGTGTTGTGTTTCAGGATGCGAGAGCCTCTGACACCGGCAATTACTCGTGTGCACCCTCCAACACTGCTGCCACTACCCTCAGAGTCCACGTACTCAATGGTAAGTGCCAGGGAGGGCCTTGAGTACATATTTAATGGAAGCTCTTGGACAGAGTGGGTGAAAATATTACCTTAAACCCTTTAGAGAATATCTTTGCTCTTAATTAGCTCAAATACCGAGATGTCTTGTGTTTATTAGAAACACTAAGGTTGGTTACTGGAGTTTAAAGTGTACCTGCTACACGAGGGTCATTATGGCTGCATGTCACCTGTTCACGACCAGTCAAGAAGTTTTTAATACCTTAGCAATTAAAATAAATTTCCAGAGCATATACACTGAAAGACACGCACCTCTGAGAGATATACAATGAGAAACATACACATGAGAGATATACACCTCTCAGTGTATACACTGAGAAACATATATACCTCTGGGAGTATAACCCAGGACACAATTCTGGGCAAGGCTATACAGATGTACATTATCCCGTTTATTCTATGGTTTATCTCTCAAAATACGAAAAAAATAATGAGACAATCAAATTATTTGAATTAAAAATTATTTTAATTAGGTATAATATTTAATAGCTTCAAAATCATTAGATTATATATTAATATAATTAAATATATTAATTACTTATGGAAAATACGCTAAATGCGATTCTTTTATACGCAGGAGAGACGCCGGCAGCCATGCAGACGAATGGGTCTCCATGTGTCCATGAGAGTGTTAGCAGCCTGCTGTGTCAGACACTTGTGGTGCTGCTGGCGTTCTCAATGCTAACTCTGGCAGTTGGTGAGCCACTCTGGCCAGGAACTCTGAGGGACAATGGTACCTGAGTGTATGGTAGTGCAGGCACCCTGTAAAGCTATGTAACCTTAGTAACAACGACACTTTTGTCTCCCTCCCAAGCAAAGTATATCTGCGTGGTAGTACTGAGTCTTACTGCCACCTGGAAAGTGCCTTAAGAGGAGTGTACATACTGATACTTAGTCTATGTTCCCTCAGTGAGGGACTGGTGGAAGGTCCTGTAGTGTGGATCACAGAATATACGGAGCGTCCAGACTCAAAGCTTACTATGCTCCCTCAATGAGCGCAGTAAGGTGTGTGATCCAGGAACGTCCAAGATGAAGCTTATACTTCCTTAGTGAGTGACTGGTCTGTGATCCTCTAAGCTGGATCATGGAACATCCCGCCCAAGCTTACTGTGAGGGACAGGTGTACGGTGTGAAGGTCCAGCAGTGTGGATCACAGCTACTAATGTCCGATACCATTTTACAACTTTCCATTAGTGTAACCCAACTTATTCCTCACCTACTTCAATCTTCAATATACTTGCATGTTTCACTTTCTCTCTCTCTCTCTCTCTCTCTCTCTCTCTCTCTCTCTCTCTCTCTCTCTCTCTCTCTCTCTCCCCCTCTCTCTCTCTCTCTCTCTCTCTCTCTCTCTCTCTCTCTCACCTATTATTCCTTGTCTCTGAATCTACAATATATATTAAATGTTATTCATACAGTAAATGTATTATGTCAATGTACTTCTGAAATTAAAGTCAATAAATTGCATAAAGAAAACTTTACAGTTTCTTTTGAATTCCTTCTATCCCAATAATGTTAATATACTCCTGCAACCCTGGTTCATAGCGAAGGTAAAACACAAGTGCAGCAGAGTGTATAGAGAGCTTCATTATATTATATACAAGATATCCACACCTGCAATAAAAAGTTGAATATTAGATACATGTAGGGATGAGCTGAGAGACATTATGTGTGTAGAATGATGGATTAGTGGTTGGTTTGTTAATGGGGTTTAAAGTCTATCTACTATACCAGGGTAATAAGGCTGCATGTCACTCGTGCACCACCAGTCAAGAATACTTTAATACCCAAAATAGTGAATCAAGTAACTTTACAGCGTGTAAACATCAAGAGGTATAGAACTCTCAGTGTATATACACTGTGTGGATGATGGAGCAATGCAGCACCAGATAAACTGATTATTTATGTAGCAATGTGACTCAGGTCCAGACCTACAACTCTACCAGTAATATCAGCAGGTAATATATACTGGTTATATGAGCAGGTAATATATCTCGGTCATATGAACAGGTAATATATCTCGGTCATATGAGCAGGTAATATATCTCGGTAATATGAACAGGTAATATGTGCTAGTAATATAGCTACAAAGAAGGTGTTAAAAGAACCTTGGATCTGGAATCTGGAATTTTGTGTATTCATTACCGCAGCTTCCAGACATCTGGTTCTCTCTCATCCATCATGACGCATCATCTTCACATACAATTCATCAACACTTTTTTTTTTTATTTTTTTATTAACACACTGGCCGATTCCCACCAAGGCAGGGTGGCCCGAAAAAGAAAAACTTTCACCATCATTCACTCCATCACTGTCTTGCCAGAAGGGTGCTTTACACTACAGTTTTTAAACTGCAACATTAACACCCCTCCTTCAGAGTGCAGGCACTGTACTTCCCATCTCCAGGACTCAAGTCCGGCCTGCCGGTTTCCCTGAACCCCTTCATAAATGTTACATTGCTCACACTCCAACAGCACGTAAAGCATTAAAAACCTATCAAACACGCTCAAGCATGCCCGCTGGAAGTCCAAGCCCCTCGCACACAAAACCTCATTTACCCCCTCCAACCTTTCCTAGGCCGACTCCTACCCCTCCTTCCTTCCACTACAGACTGATACACTCTTGAAGTCATTCTGTTTCGCTCCATTCTCTCTACATGTCCGAACCACCTCAACAACCCTTCATCAGCCCTCTGGACAACAGTTTTGGTAATCCCGCACCTCCTCCTAACATCCAAACTACGAATTCTCTGCATTATATACACACCACACATTGCCCTCAGACATGACATCTCCACTGCCTCCAGCCTTCTCCTCGCTGCAACATTCATCACCCATGCGTCACACCCATATAAGAGCATTGGTAAAACTATACTCTCATACATTCCCCTCTTTGCCTCCAAGGACAAAGTTCTTTGTCTCCACAGACTCCTAAATTCACCGCTCACCCCCTTTTCCCCTCATCACATTCTATGATTCACCTCATCTTTCATAGACCATCCGCTGACACGTCCACTCCCAAATATCTCAATACATTCACATCCTCCATACTCTCCCTCCAATCTGATATCCAATCTTTCATCACCTAATCTTTTTGTTATCCTCATAACCTTACTCTTTCCTGTATTCACTTTTAATTTTCTTCTTTTGCATACCCTACCAAATTCATCCACCAACCTCTGCAACTTCTCTTCAGAATCTCCCAAGAGCACAGTGTCATCAGCAAAGAGCAACTGTGACAACTCCCACTTTATGTGTGATTCTTTATCTTTTAACTCCACGCCTCTTGCCAAGACCCTCGCATTTACTTCTCTTACAACCCCATCTATAAATATATTAAACAACCACGGTGACATCACACATCCTTGTCTAAGGCCTACTTTTACTGGGAAATAATCTCCCTCTTTCCTACATACTCTAACTTGAGCCTCACTATCCTCGTAAAAACTCTTCACTGCTTTCAGTAACCTACCTCCTACACCATACACCTGCAACGTCTGCCACATTGCCCCCCTATCCACCCTGTCATACGCCTTTTCCAAATCCATAAATGCCACAATAACCTCTTTAGCCTTATCTAAATACTGTTCACTTATATGTTTCACTGTAAACACCTGGTCCACACCCCCCCTACCTTTCCTAAAGCCTCCTTGTTCATCTGCTATCATATTCTCCGTCTTACTCTTAATTCTTTCAATAATAACTCTACCATACACTTTACCAGGTATACTCAACAGACTTATCCCCCTATAATTTTTGCACTCTCTTTTATCCCCTTTGCCTTTATACAAAGGAACTATGCATGCTCTCTGCCAATCCCTAGGTATCTTACCCTCTTCCATACATTTATTAAATAATTGCACCAACCACTCCAAAACTATATCCCCCACCTGCTTTAACATTTTTTTCTTAATCCCATCAATCCCGGCTCCCTTACCCCCTTTTTTTTAACCTATGCCTCAGAATTTTCCCCCCCACACTCACAACGGGTTTTCCCTAACCTTTACAAGAGTTTTCCTCCTTGCCCTATACACAAAAAACACAGTTTCCCCTATTTTCCCACCCAACTTTTAAAACAATTCCTCAAAATATTCTTCCATCTTCCCAAATACCTCTAACTCTCCATTTAATAACTCTCCTCCCTTTTTTTTAACTGCCCAAATCCTTTTGTTCTCTAGGCTTTTTTAAACTTTTTAAACCCTCCCCTTCCAAAACTTTTTCTTTTTTTTTAACAGAAAAAAATGTAAAAAAACATTTAAAAGAAAAAAAAGAGATAAAAAAAATAAAGATTGAGAATTGTTTTTTTGGGGTAAAAAATATTTTTTATAAATTTGGGCAGGCGAGAATAAAGTATTTTTTTTTTCCCTCTTTTGAAAAGGAAAATTTGCTTTATTGCTGCCATTTATTGAAAATTTTTGTCCCGGGCAAAATTGCCCCGAGGGAAACGTTGAATCACCCCTTTTGTCGGGGGAAACATATTTTTTGTTGCGGGGCCCCGAAACTTTTTCCCAGTAAATTTGGGAAGATAATTGAGATATTATTTTTTTTTAAATTTAAAGTAGATTCTCGGAGGAATTTGAGGTTTTATTCTTTTGTGGCAATTGAAGGGTATTTTTTTATGAGGTAATTAAAAGTATACTTTCTGGGGAAATTTGAAGTATATTCTTTAAGGAAACCCTGAGGAAAAATTTTTGGGGGCGGGATCCCCTCCTTCCCAGCTGAGAAATGTTCCCCTTTTCCCCATTTTTGGAGGGAACTGATAAACCTTTCCCAGTTTTGGGGGAAACTGACACCTTCCCAGTTTGGGGAGACTGTTCCCCTTTCCCAGTTTGAGGGGACTGATCCCCTTTCCCAGTTTGGGGACAATTTTTTTTCCCCTTTCCCCCAAGTTTAAAGGGAGATCCCCTTTCCCATTTTGAGGGACTTTTTCCCCTTTCCCCCGTTTGGGGGGGCTGATCCCTCCTTTCCCCGGGTCTGGGGAGACGTCACCTTTTCCCATTTTGAGGGACTGTCACCTTCCCAGTCTGAGAACTGAAAAACCTTCCCCAGCCCGGGAGGGGAATTGTTTCACCTTCCCAGTCTGAGAGACTGCCCCCACCTTCCCATTTTTGGGGACTGTCCCTTTCCCCATTTGGGGAAATGATCACCTTCCCATTTTTGGGGGGATGATCCCCTTTCCCCAAAGTTTGAGGGACAAACCCTTTCCCCGTTGAGGGGTTGATCACCCCTTTTCCCAGTCTGGAACTGATCCCCTTTTTCCCAGTTTGGGGGACTGATCCCCTTTCCCCAAGTTAGAGACTGATCCCCTTCCGGGTTTGGGGGACGATCCCCTTCCCCCATTTGAGGGATGATCACCTTCCCTTTGAGGGGACTGATCCCCTTTCCCAGTTTGAGGGACTTTTTTACCCTTTCCCAGTTTGAGGGGAGTCCCCTTTTCCAGTTTTGAGGGGCTAAACCCCACCTCCTTTCCTCTGGGGAGATGATCCCCTTTCCCCATTTTTGGGGGAAATGATCACCGTTCCCACCCTGAGAGACTGATCCCCTTTCCCATTTTGAGGGACTAAATCCCCTTCCCATTTTGGGGGAAATGATCCCCTTTCCCATTTTTGGGGGCCCTGATCACCTTCCCATTTTGGGGGCCCGGGAAACCCCTTTCCCATTTTGGGGGATGATACCTTCCCATTTTTGGGGGGCTGATAAAACCCCCTTCCCCAGTCGGAGAGCCCTGATAAACCCTTCCCCCTTTTTTGAGAGATGAAAACCCCTTCCCATTTGAGGGATGATCCCCTTTCCCCAATTTTTTGGGGGGGACTGATCCCCCTTTCCCAGTTGGGGGGATTTGATCACCTTCCCAGTTTGGGGGACTGATCACCTTCCCAGTTTGGGGAATTAAACCCCCTTTCCCAGTTTGGGGGACTGATCCCCTTCCCATTTTGAGGGACTGATCACCTTCCCAGTTTGGGGGACTGATCATCTTCCCAGTTTGAGGGATTACACCCTTTAAATTTTACGGGAAAACGCCCTCCTTTTTACGTGTGCCTGTATTCAAATGGGGGAAAATGGTTGGGGGAGGCAAGACTTTTTTTTAAATAAGGATCGTAAGTGTTGCTAAAAATGGGCTTCCCTGGAGTTTCCTGGAGGGGTTTTTCGGAGGTAAACCCCCCCGCGGTTTCGGCCCGGGAAGGAACCGGGCCCCCCTAAAGGTGGATAAAGGGGCCCTGATCAACCGGGATGTTACGGCTGGCCGCACCCCAACCCTGACGTACAAACCCCACACCCCGGGGGTTTGGGGTACGGGAATTTAGGTGCCTGTCCATTTGGTTTCTTGACAGTGGGGGGTTTATTGGA